GAGAGAGAGAGAGAGAGAGAGATGATGATTTTACGAGAGCCGTGGGAGTCTATTAGTGCTTTCTCTGGACTGAAAGAAATACCCTCGACCCTCCTCGTGCGCTCCACCGCAGCATTTCATGCGGCCGATCGTGTCAACCACGTCAACCGACCCCGGACAGGGCCGTTCATTTCTTTGCAGACTAAGGGGGCAGCCGCACAGTTGGGCCCCCCCCCCTCTCTCCCCACAGCCCCCGCCGCTAGTTGATGTTGCACAACGCTCCACGCTCGCCTCCTTACGGCGTCTTCCTTCGGCCTGGTTTTTATCCTCCTCGTCCACGCCTTTTTTGCAGGATCGTCAAGCGGTTTCCCGGGCTCAAGCTCGTCCTCGAGGCCCTCATCGGGTCCGTCCAGGGCGTGTTCAACGTGGCGGCGGTGTGCTTCCTGTTCTACATCATCTTCGCCATCCTGTGCGTGAACTACTTCAAGGGCCTCCTCATGTCCTGCCAGGGGGACGCCTTCGACGCCCTCCCCGGGGAGGTGGTGTCCTTCCTCGAGGACCCGCTGCCCTGGTCCGACATGTCATCCGGGCAGCGGGAGTGGTTCGGCCCCCTGAGCAACGTCTCGGAGGCGTTCTCGGGGGACGGTTTCAGCAGCAGCATCGGCGGTAACCTTTCGACCTCGGGGGTAGAGTACTGCGACGTGATCACCGGCGGCTTGTGGCCGGATGCGGCGGGCTGCTGCTCCGCGTGGCCGACGTCGGCTGAAGAAGCCCCGACTAGCTATGAGGTACCTGTCCTGTGAGCGGTGTTAGGCACAGGGCAGACTATAGGTGTCAGCGTGGTGTATGTGTGCTCTGGAAGCCCTTCTTGGAGGTGTTGGACCGATACAACGTGACCCCGTAGAAAGGTGGTTGATGCCTTGACCTCATCGCCCTACCCTGGAAGTACAGATAAATGGGCGTTACCTCTCCTGAGCCAGCTCCGAGGCGTGCGTGCACACACCCTTGGTAAGTCTTTGCCTCGTGGTGCAGGTGCTCGATAAATCACGAGGTGGTGGCCTTTTTAGCGGGGACGTTTGTATCCTTCCTCTCCCCTGGGTGACGGGCATTACCACCTGCTTTCGGACGAATTTCGCCACTCGGTTGCTCCACGACCGGGAGGGGGCCCAATACCGGACGTTAGGTCTGATGAACGAACCCTCCCCCAGAGCAAGATATTGCCAGACCATTCATGTCCGGAGGATCAAACGATTTCCTGTCGGGGCAGCAAAAGTTGCGCAACCAATACCTGCCGCAAGAGCATTTGTCGAGGGGGGTGGGCGGCCCGTTCCTATGAGACATGATGGCACTCGAAAGATCGCGAGCGACAAGCTTTGATCGCCGGTCGCGTCACAAAAGAAAGGGGAACGCTGTGACAAGTCAGACGGTAGAGACTCATCACACACCAATCAAAGGCACGCACCGTTGCGGGTACACCACGAAGAAAGAGGTTTGGTTGCCGCACACGCCTGTTTCCTCGTTGCTGCAGGTCTGCGAGTGCCTCGGACTGTCGTGGGCGGAGACCATCCCGCAGCAGTTCGACAACGTCGCGGTGTCCCTCCTGACCCTGTTCGAGATCTCCACGACCGAGGCGTGGACGTCGGTGACGTACGCGGCGGTGGACGCGTCGGGGGTCGGCATGCAGCCGATCCGAGACCACGTGATGGCAAGAGTGTGGCTTTTCATCCTCTTCATGCTGCTGGGCGCGTACCTCGTCATGAACCTCTTCGTAGGGGTTATCGTTGACAACTTCAAGAAGGTGGTGGCAGCGTGTGTCGTGCAGGAACTTGAACAGCCAGAAACCAAAATAGACAGCGCGTGGTGTCTCATGTGTCTTCCATTTTGCCTTTTCGGTCCCTCTGTCTCATTCTCTCCCTCGCCCTCTTTGTCTCATCCGTCTTGCGTGCGTGTCTATGTGTTTGTCTCGCGACAGCACACGACCGACAAAGCCCACACCGCCCAATTTCTCAGTGTGTTGCCCCGCTTCGCATCAGCGCCCGCCATCCTCACCCCCGCCTCTTGGACGCTCCTCCCTCTTGCCCGTCCCGCACACAACCCCTCCGTCTGACCGTATCTCTGATCGTTGCAACTTTTTATTGCCGCTAGATGAAAGCGCGGGCGGAGGAGGGCGGTCTGCTGGTGACGGGACACCAGCGCTTGTGGATCAAGACGCAGCTGATCATGCGCCGCCTAAGGCCGATGAAGCGCATACAGCCCCCTCCAGACCGTCTCGGATCGTTATGCTTCCGGTTGATAAACTTTCCGTGGTTCGACTCGGCGGTGATGGTGTGCATCGTCCTGAACACGGTCGTCTTGGCCATGAAATACTTCGGCCAGAGCAACCTGTACACAAGGTACAGAAGCGCGCAGTAGATTGTTGGGCTGTCTTTCACTCTTGTCGGTTTGTTTGATTTTTTGGCAACGTCGTGTGTAACTAATTATTTAACTGCTGTTGCAGTGTGTGGCAGCCGGTCTTGACAGTGTTGCTTGTTGTTTGTTTAGTTCGTCTCTACATTAGTTGGACCCTTATGCTAGTAGTCCTGCGTGGATGAATACGCACGCGCGCGCCAAGCGTTGTGATTGGGGTGTGTGCGCGTTGTGTATCCCAATGCCTCGGTGTTTGCTATCGGGATTGGGTTTTCGTCGCTTGGCAACGTTGCAAAACAAGCCGCCCCCCCCCGGTGCCCCCGGTGTTTGCCATCGGGGTTGGGTTTTCGTCGCTTGGCAACGACGTTGTA